TAAAAGTCATCCTTTCAGGACAGAGGTTGTATGGATTTGGGGATCAGGAGCTTAGCCCTCTCATTTTACAGATGAAGCTCAGAGAGGATGAATGACTTACCCAAGATAACCTAAGTGGTTGGTTTCCAGCCCCAAGGTGGGAATCCTGACTGTCAGGCCATCACCCTCCCAGTTTTGCAATGCTGTTTCATCAGTCACAAGCTCTGGCTTCTCACAACAATGGGCATTTAAAACACCACAATTTAAACTTCTTGTACACTTTCTACTCTGTCACTCCACTTATTCAATTTGGCCTAATAAAAACTATACCCCCCCACCAAAATAAATGAAAAAACTCCAGAAAGAAAAACAACATAATTAAAATGTCAAGACTCAAATAAAAATTAGGATGGATTAAACAAATTACAATTCACAGAAGAAATTGAAATGAATGTATGAAAAGTGTTCACTCATGAATAATTAAAAATACCAATCAAATCACACTTATTAAATTAGTAAAGATTACAAATAATATTCAATGTTACAAAGAATCCACTAAAATGGGCACTCAAAATCCCTGCAGGTGAGAATGTCAGCCTGGTCTTTATGAAAAGTAATTTGGAAGCAGTTTCATATTTTTTAATTTGCATGCCTTTTGACCCCGTAATTCAACTTGTAGGAATCTAACCTAAGCAAAGAATGAGTGATCTGTACAAAGATTTATGCATAAACTTATCCTCAACTTTTTCAGTTATTAATAATGTAACAATCAAAATACCCAAGTGCACAATTTAATTATGCAACATCAATACAGTATGGTATTAGTAAACATCCATTAAATTGTGTTCAAATGATTTTGATGCAATGAAAAATTATGACATAATGTAAAGTAAAAAAAAAGGTACAAAACTATACCTACTGTAATACTATGAGCCCAATTACTTGTGTGTTTGTTAGGGTGTGTACTAAATAAAAAAAAAGACTAGAAGGAAATACACCAAATTATATTTCTCTCTGGAACAGATTATGAAATATTTTATATTCTTTATAATTATTTTCTCAGGTTTTCTACAATTAGTATGTGTACTTATTTTCTAAATGTGTATGTGTGTTTTATATATGCAAACAAAACAATAATTTATATATATAATATGAAAAAAGTTTTCTAAAAAGACAAATTTACAAGTCACTCACATGGAGGTGTTAAGGCAGATCAAATTGTACAAGGAGAGGGTATATTGAGAATAAGATGCTGGACAGGACCACAGCAAACACACATGTTTAAGGAGCAAAAAGACTATGAGTTAGTGAAGGACATAGGAGGAAGTGGTTTGATGGAGAACTATGAGTTAGTGAAGGACATAGGAGGAAGTGGAAGATGGAGAACTAGGTACAGTCATATCAAGAAAGCCAAATGAAAGGAAGAACCAGAAAAGTTGTCTTCTTGGTCAAAAGCTGCCAAGTGGTAAAGAGGAGGACAGTGACAGGGCCATTATGGAGAAATCACTGGGTACTGTGTATAGACAGACAGATCTCCTCCCGTGCTGGAGGTAGAAGCCAAATCTAAGCAAATGTTACCTGTTTAGTAAAACTGACCTTGAGGAAAAGAAGTCCTAGGCCATTTGCTTGATTTCAGTTTATTAAAGAAAAAATTGTAGATATCTAGAACCAAGTAAAAGTATATCAGGATTACTGATATACTTTTGTAGATCGGTAATTGGCAAAACAAAAACAAAAACAGTAAAACAAAAATTGGCAATATTTTGGCATGCAAGAAAAAACACGTTTGAGGGATAGCAAGTTTCTCCAAATAGTAAGCTATGTTATAGGATAAATAAGGGGAAAAAATAGCTCCACACGTGTTGTCAAAAGTACAAAAAAGTTGAATTTTTTTCTAAATATGAAACTTCTTAGTTTTAGAGTAGCATTGTTAAGAACTTGTTTGAAAGAAAAAGAATGTACAATGTCATGGTATCATATTAACTTCTTAAGACTGGACATGTGAAGTCTTGGAAACATTTTCAAGTTTAAAGAAATATCTTGATGTGCTGAATAATGAATTGCCTGTTGGGTCAGACTTTGCCCTTTTCATGAAAAGAGGTCTGCATAAGCTCAATAACTTGACTGAGTCTCAAGGACTTTACATCCAGCCACAGAATAAATATAGCAGTATGGTCCTACCAGGAGTACCATTTGCCATAGAATCTCAATTCTACAATCATTAAGCAGAAACTACTCGATTTACAACCACTCATTTGTTACTAAAGAACCTTGAGAGTCTGTGAAGTAATTTAACATCACCTGTAGATTACTGTACACAATCCAAAATAAAGTACTTTAACTTCCTATCAAAAAATGCAGTGAAAGACCATAGCAACTTTTAAAAAACCCAACAGTTTTTTTGTATGGAAATTCCTGACTTCAGAACCAAGTTACACACTTTTCTATCTGCAGAAAGAGTACAATTCCAATCTAAATGAAAGTAATCTATTTCTGAGTGTATGAAATTAAGAATGCCTGAAAACTAGTTTCATGGTCAAACTAGTTTCATTGGGAGAATAATGACAAATTCTCCCAATTTGTGGTTAGGTGGCCTTTTATGGCAAATATGTCTAATGATCTCTTGCACTCTGAACATTCTTTTTTTGTCTGTGAGGCTGAAGAACTTTGTACCTGAAAACATTGTAAGAAAACAATGTAATCATTTTAGGTTCCCATTGTAAGTACATGCAAATATACCCACTGCCTTTCCAAAAATTCCTGGTAGAGACCACTTTCCTAGAGTGTAAACAGAAAGAAAGTAGGTAAGCAATGTCAAAGAAACATGTTCAACAAATACCATGGCTCAAATTACCAAATAACACAACCACCATCTGTATAATTAACTACAGATTTCAGATCATCAAAACTCTACAAAAATCCTAACACTTCTGACCTTTCCTTCTCCACCCATCTACCCACCCTATCCCCACCTCCAAAGAAAAAAAGAAAAAGATTTTGAGGACACCTTAGCAAGAATAAGTATCCTCTGTTACCAAGATGAGCTGTTAATAGAATTGTTTTCACTTCTGAAGTTTTCTCTTCTTAGGATTATTAGAAGGTTGAAATCTGGTCCACCTTTTAACCAGAGTCTGGAACAAAGTTTCAATGTACCAAGTTAAACAAAGTTACACAATGGAGCAATTTTTACAAAATGGCACTGCTTTACTAATGTTGCCAATACTCTATTCTCTTCCCAGTAGCTCTACAGTTCAGGGACTGCCTGATAACAACACTTCCAGGCCCATTACAGAACAGTGAAAATATTTCCACCAACCATTTACTGAACTGCTACGGGATTAACAACAAGACCTAATCCCATTTTCAAAAGGCCTTAATGTTGACAGAACACAAAATAAGAAATATGAATGATACACATTCATGAAGTGAGGAGAACCCTGTTACTTAAAGGTTTTTTACTATTGTGGTTGTTTACTCTGTTTTGCTTTTAAGGAAAACTAGAAGACAGAATTAAAAATAAACTATTCTCTATGCTCCCATAGCACTCTGGGCTGACCTCTAGTATAGCACTGACCTCACTAATACTGTACATTGTACCCACTGATCTGTCTAACCCATTTGATTTTAAGCTCTTTTATAGTAGGGACATTTGGAACTTTGAATCCACAGGACTGACAAAACAGAAGGCACTCAGTAAGTGTTTTGTCCAAAACAAACATGTTTTTACAGGAATTACCTATTGCCATGTTATGTGTTTTTCTATTGGTGGAAAACAAGGAAATATATATTCACACATGCCTTTTCTTTTTTCGTTTAAAATAATCTCTTCTGCTAACTCTATAACTTCTTATGGTCTACCTAAAACATGGTCATCCTTCATCCAGGATATAACTCCACAGGAACTAAGAAATGTTTATTGAGGGTCATTTTCTTTTGTGTCTATATCAGACCTCAGAAGAAAGTTTCATTTCACAGTTCCTAAAATATATATCATTTGTAAATAGTATTAGTAACTATGCAGATAAAAAGTATTCCATTTAACCACTTAAATCAAGAGCAAAAGAAAGACTATCTCAGGCAAAAGACCTCTTCCCTATAGAGGCATTGTCTTAAAGGCTGATAACTCCCTGAGTATGTTAAGTAGAAAAGTCAAGTTGATAGAACCATCTGGATTAGGCAGCTTTTTGAAACCTGGAATTAAGTGAAAGACAATAGTAGTTCAAATATCTCTCACCAGGATCAGCTAAACTCTGTAACTCTGTTGTAAGCACCAGAAGGAGTCAAGGACGGGCGCCAGATGGTTTACTCCTAGCACCTACAACTTCAAGTTTAGTAGGTGTAGGCAGGGGTGTACGGTTACCTTATATTAACAGCTACGTACATTGGTGACAGATGCCAGCAATATACACAGGATGGCGACTCGGGGATGATACATCCAGCTGCAAGGACTGCTATAGTCTCGACATACCTCCAAAGGACATAAGTGATATAAGTGTCTTAAAAAGAGTTCAACTGGCAGAATGGAAGGGCAGAAAAATAGAAGAGGGAGGGGATGGCTGAAAACGAAGAAGTGAAAAGAGCAGTTGAATATCATAATACTATTTCCCTGGGAAATTGAATTTGGATGAACTACCACCTTCTCCCACCACACCAAAAATATATGTATAGTTAAAAAGGAGTTTTCTTGCCCTGGCGGGTAGCTCAATTGGTTGGAGTGTCCTCCTGATATGCCAAGGTTGCGGGATCCATCTCTGGTCAGGGCTTATACAAGAAACAACCAATGAGTGCATCAGCAAGTAGAGCAACAAATATATGTTTCTCTTTCTCTCTCTCCCTTCCTCCGTCCCTCTTTCCCTCCCTTCCTCCCTCTCTCTCCCTTCCTCTGGCTCTCTAAAAAAAAATCTATAAATTAAAAAAAAGGAGTTCCTATCAGCTCCCGCCCTCAGGCAGCAAAGGTTCAACCCCATATAATTGCTTCCAGTACCAGAGCAGCACCCAAAAGTGAGGAAAAGAGCAGAGGATCAGCGGTTCCTCCACTCCCTCGTTCTAGGGCAAGGGGATCCCTCTTGTGCTCCCAACGCCCCAGAAGTCGCGGGAGAAAGAAGGTGCGGAGGAAAGCCGAGGTCTCCGCGCACTCTCCGGCTGTGGAGGATATGAAAAGAGAAGGTCCTTACCTGACTAAAAGCGGTATTTTTTCTGCACTGCTTCCAGCCCTGCCACAGGTCCCGGGCGCTCTGACTCGCGCACCTGTCGCGACCTAGCTGCAGCACCTACAGCTCCTGCGGCCCCGCCCCGGTCCGACTCGGAGCCCCGCCCCGAGCCCCGCCCACCTCCACGAGGGCGCGCACGCCAGCCCGCCTCCCTTGCGGCCTCGGGGCGAGCGTGCGCGCCACCCGCGGCGTGCCGTTCCGTCGTAGCTGCCGGTGTTGCTCCGTGGCGTGCTGTGTTGGCTCCGTGAGAGGCGGGGCTCCTTTTCCTGAGGCCGCGTCTAATTCTCTACGGTGCTCACTGAGGAATCCACGTATCTTAACCGCCTTGGGCTTTGTGCTTCTCCAGTTTGACAATAATTAACTCTCTGAGTCAGAGTTACCGCAAATTGACTCTGGAGCGCCTGGGAGGTTTGCCCTAGGCTCAACTAGGCCAGTCCCCAACCAGGTTCCTGGTGATTTCGGGGTAAGTTCATTGCAGGGAGAGTATTTTAGAGTAAGCCGTACTGTGTGGTGGAAAGAGCTATAAATCAATCTTGTCTCAACCGCTTGACATCAAGTCACTTCACCTCACTAGAGATGAATTTCCTCTTAGTAAAGGGGTTGGACAAGGGCAAATCTCCAAGTTCTCCAGCAGCTCTAACCTTTCACACAGTTAAGACAGTATGCAATATCAAGAAAATGCATTCCCTTGTATGTGGAGTTACCTCAATATATCCCCCCTATAAATTATAATTAAAAAAGAAGTCAATAATGGCCCTTATTCACCAAGAAGCCTAACCTGGGTCATAGATTTGGACCTATATTTGAATCTTGACTCAGTCACTTACCAACTTAGGCTAATTACTTGCTCTCCCAAAGCCTCCCTTAGCGCCCTTTTGAAAATAGAGTTAGTAGCCCTGGCTGCGGTGGCTCAGTGTATTGAGTGCCAGCCGGTGAACCAAAAGGTCGCTGGCTGGATTCCCAGTGTCGGGACATGCCTGGGTTGTGGGCCAGATCCCCAGCTGGGGGCGTGTGAGAGGCAACTAACTGATCAACATATCTCTCACACGTTGATGTTTCTCTCCCTTACTTCATTTCTCTCTAAAAGTAAACACCGGTAATTAAAATCTAAAAAGAAAACAGTCAGTAGTACACACAATTGGCTTTTACCAGTTTGCAAGGCTAACTTGATAAATTTTCATGGATTTTTGAGCGAGTTACTAAGCATAACTGCTATTAAAAGTCAAATTTTATAAACATAGTTAAATATGTTAAAAACAGGTAAATACTCAAAATTCATCACTTTTTTTTATCTTAATTTTACTAGTAACTTTGCTCTTGAGGTTGTCCATCTGTAGGATGGAAATACTGTGTAATATATGTATTTCTTCCCAACTCTTTGTTAACAGATGTCACATTTGTAGTATAAAATTGGCTGCAAAAGGAATGTTTACACCATGGAAATTGGCAAATGCTACAAATCAGGCTTGGTTTATGTTTTATTGATTTTCTAGACCAATTGCCTGCAACTTTTTCTGTAAATGACCAAATAGTAAATATTTCAGGTTTTCCAGTATGTATAGTCTTTGTCACAACTACTTGGAACTCTTATATTTATAATGTGTGTTGCTGTGTTCCCATAAAGCCTTATTTACAAAAATAGGCACAAGCTTGTGGAGAAAATATTGATAATGTAGAATTAAACTTTGTGTAACATGGCCTGACATTGTAAGTAGCACAAAAAATTGAGGAAGAATTCTAACAGTATTTGAAAACTATTACCCAATTCATGAATGACGTTCCAACATACTTTTTCATTGTTTTACTTTTGTCTTACTAGCTAACTTAAACAAAAATATCAACCAACATCCATGTCTGAACTATACTTCTTTGGTGGATGTGTCTTTTTTGATGATTCAAATCATAATCAAGTATTATTTATAGTCTGATTTTTATGAAATATTGTTGGAAAAAATCAAAACTGATAAGTTTTTAAAGAAATAGCAAGTCATACTGAAGGTATAGGTACAAAAAAAGCAACAAAACTATTTTAGTTTAAAAATCATGCTATTTCTGGTCTTCTGGTCAAGATGGCAGTGTAGGTAAATGCAGTATTCACATCTTCCCACAACCATATCAAAATTACAACTAAACTACAGATCAGTCATTATTCAGAGGTGCCTGAAATCTAGCTGAACAGAAGTCCTCCAATTAAGAATATAAAGAAGCCACATGGAGACTAGTAGGAGGGGCAGAGATGTGGAATGGGTGGGCCCACACCCACGTGTGGTGGATAAAAATCAAGAGGGATGTCTTGGAACCACAGGCCCCCTCTGAGGAGCGAGGGGTCCAAGCCCCACACCAGGCCTCCAGCCCAGGGTTCCAGGGCCAGGTAGAGAAGTCTTCATAATTTCTGGGTGTAAAAATCAGCATGAATTGCTGTTGAGTGAGATGAAGGACTTCTGGAGTCCCAGACTTTCCTCTTAAAAGACCTTCATACTGGCTTACTTGGATTCACTCACTCTGAGCTCTAGTGCTGAAGCAGCAGCCCAAAAGGCACCAGGGATGTATGGGGAAGAACTGAATTATGTGGCATCAAGGTGAGAGCTGGAGGGGCAGGTTTTTCCTAGAGAGAAGTGCTGGCAGAGTCTATTGTTCCTTTTCTGAACCCCTCCTACGGAGCTGGCAGATGGGTGCCATATCTGAATCTCCATCAACCTGGCTAAAGCTGTTCTCCCTGTCCTGGTGATTCCAAGACCGTGCTTCACCCAACTTTTGGGCCCACCCAAACTGTTTCCAGTGGCTTTTTCATGCAAACATACTTCATGCCTCAGACTTTTCTAAAATTTCTCAGGCAAGCAGCATCTGGCCTTTGTGCCCCATATCTCTCACTAAGTGGCCCTAAGACTGGCACTAGTAGCACTGGCCTTGGTTTGCAGCTTAAACTCTCCTGGACACCACCAAGCCTAACACAAATATTAGCCACCTGCAGATCACTTTGTAGCTCCTGCTGGGTGGCCCCAGGCAGAATATAAGCAGCAGCCAACCTAGGCCTGCAACTCCTGGGAGGCCCCAGAGCCACTGCACCTAGTGGACAGTTTTGGATGATGTCAAAGCAACACCCAACCACTTCTACAAGCCATACACTCAAGGGAAAGACTCAGCAGGCACCAGAGCCCCACTCAAGTGGGCCTGGTCTGTGGGATGGGTCTGCTCTGTGGGGGGAGCCCCCATTCAGTCAGTTGTTGCATCCTCCTGGCAGCCAATTGGGTTAGGGTAAATCCCTCCTAGTGATTTGCCAATAGTAATCCGGGTTCAACTACTATAGGAGAGTGTGCACAGCCCACATGGTGGGGAAAGGTTCACCTGCAGTTCCCAGCTCAGGTGAATGGGGAGGCTGTGACACTGAACCCTACAGGACACTAACTACATAAGTCCAATCTACCAAACCCAGGAGATGTAGTAACTCTACCTCATACATAGAAACAAATACAGGGAGGCTGCCAAAATGTGACAAAGAAACATGCCCCAAATGAAAACAGAACAAAATTCCAAAAAAAAAAAAAACCTAAACAAAATGGAAACAAGCAATCTACTAAATGCAGAATTAAAAAAAAAAAAAAAACAATGGTTCTAAGGATGCTGAAGGACCTTAGGGGAAGAGTAGGTGAACTTAGAACTTCAACAATGAGATAGGAAACACAAAAACTGACCCAGAAAACATAAAAAGGAACCAGTCAGAAATGAAGAATACATTACAGGGAATCGACAGTGGAGTAGATGAAGCAGAGGATCAAATCAGAGATTTGGAATATAGGAAACAGAAAACACCCAATCAAAATAGCAAAAGGAAAAAAGAATACAGTCCTGGCTAGGTAGTTCAGCTACTTAGATGTCATCCTGATACACCAAAGTTATGGGTTCCATCCTTGGTAAGGGCACATACATAAATCAATTAATGAATGCATAAATAAGTGGAACAAAAAATCTTCCCTCTCTTGTTCTCTCAAAAAAATTAATACAGTTTTTTAAAAAAGAATCTAAAGGATGAAGATAGTATAAGGAGCCTTGGGACAACTTCAAATGTACCCACATTTGCATCGTGAGGTACCAGAAGAAGAAGAAAATGAGCAAGGAATTGAAAATCTATGTGAAAAAATAATAACAGAAAACCGCTCTAATCTGATGAAGGAAATAGACATACACATCAAAGAAGTACAGAGAGTCCCAAAGAAGATGAATCCAAAGAGGACCACACCAATACACATCATAATTAAAATGCCAAAGTTAAAGGCAAAGAATCTTAAAAGCAGCAAGAGAAAAGAAGTTAGTCTTCTGATAAAACTCATCTGATTCCTCAACAGAAACTTTGCAGGCCTGCAGGGAGTGGCAAGAAATATTCAAAGTGATGAAAAACAAGGACCTAAAACCAAGATTACTACATCCAGCAAAGCTAACATTTAGAATCAAATGACATATAAAGAGCTTCTCAGACAGAAGAAGCTTAAGGAATTCATTACCACCAACCCGTATTATGTAAAAAGGGTCTTCTTTAAGAAGAAGGAAAAAAAAGATAAAAAATACAAATAATAAAATGGCAATAAATACATATCTATCAACAATATTGAATCTAAAAAAACGTATGAGCAAGCAAACAGAAACAGACTCATAGATAGATACAGAAAACTTTGATTTTGCCAGATGGGAGGGTGGTTGGGGGATGTGTGAAAAAGGTGAAAGGATTAAGAAGTACAAATTGGTAGTTATAGAATAGTCATGGGATGTAAACTACAGCATATGGAATATAGTCAGTTATATTGTAGTAACTATGTATGGTGTCACTGGGTATGAGATTTGTCAGGATGATCACTTAGTAAATTATATAATGTCAAATCATTGGGTTGTACACCTGAAACTAATATAATAATGTATGTCAACTCTAATTGAAGAAATAAAAAAATTACTGAAAGAATAAAAAATATAATAAAAAATTAAAATTAAAACATAAATGAAAAAGAAACATCTAATACCCCTCCCAAATCAGTTTCTATGGTACTTCATAGTCAACATTCTTGGTAGCTATTAATCAATATGTATGTGAGGTTCAAAAGAAGAAAAGCAATTAATCTTCTGTACCAAAGAGACACATCCATTGTCTGGGTATAAAGTAGTTTCCAAAACTGAACCTTGCCTGGACCAGTGAGGCTTAGTTGGTTGGGCATCATCCCACAAAGTGAAAGGACTCTGGTTTGATACTTGTTCAGAGTACACACCTGGGTTGCAGGTTTGGTCTCTGGTCAGGGCATGTGAGAGAGGCAA